GTAATTTTTTTTCTTGACTTTTTTACATGTACATTGTACCTGGTACTTTATCTAGCAATTTGTTTAGGGTTTGGATGTATTCCAAAAACCACAGACTATCTTCTGCATTTATCAGGCAAGGGTATAGTTCATAATCAATGTTGGCATCTTTTTAAGTAAAATATAAGCTACCAGGCTTAATCTTGCTTAATTTACAAGCTGTTCTTTTTAAACCCTTTGACTATACATATCCGAGACCCATATATACAGAGCTGGGAGTTACAAATGTTGCATGAACTTTCCATAATACTTCACCTTTTTAATAGCACGTGTATCAAAAATACAAATACTTGTATTTTTTATGTAGACTCACATAAGTGGTTTGGCTAGCGGACATAGGATCGAGAGGTCATGGGTTCGAATCCTGACATTCCTGGCTAGACCTTGTGCCCTTGGGGAAAGCACTTTACAATTGACTTTCCTCACTCCACTCAGGTGGAAATAACCACCTGACTTTTGGATTTATATTGGCTCTCAGGGCTAAAAATACTTTTTTCTGCATAGTTGCACTTTGTTCTGATGTAACAGTGTGGTTCAAGCACCGCTAACTGACCTGTCTAATGGGTACGAATATTTTGGAGTAGCAGTTTGTTCACTGCTTCATCAGCTGGCTGCCTGGGTTTGGCGCAGGTTCGATTCCTGGTCTCACGGGAGTCAGGGGTTTTCCTGTTTCTACTGCTTCTAGTGTTTCACTGCTAATGTTGAAAATTTCTAATCTGTATCCGTGCAGTCCAGTAACAGCATGCGAGCAAGAGGAATTCCTTAATATAAAGAGACCACAAAAAGTCAGACACAGGAAGTTAGGTCCCAGAACTTGGCTGGGTGCCAAAATCAAGCCCTTAGCTTGGACTGTTTGCTTGCTTTCTGTCCTACTGGCCTACTGGGAATATGTCAGACCATCTCTTCAGTTGTACGAATAAGTTCACAAAAAAACACCTCTAAAATACTTCTTGGAGGTTTGAAATCTATGAATTCTTATCTTTTCTATCTGCCATCAAAAATTACATGTTGCAGGTGGCCCGGGTTTCTTCAAGTATAATGAGTATTATTACTAATACACAGAGCTGCAAATGGCTGTCTGTTGTCCGACGCCGATTTACGACCCCAAAATCATCCTCGCAAACCGTGTTTACCGCTGTCCGGAAAGAGCAGCAATTCGGCCCCACTTCTAACACTTGACAGCTGCCTAGTTCCAGCTATTCTCCAGCTGTATGATTATATTTCTGCATAATTCATGATGGGGTAAATACTTCCTGTACCCCCCCTCCCTGATTCCCCTAGACACTCACGGGCACAGATGGTCACATTACAATCATCAAAATCTCTATCTACCAATTGCACAGGGAATATTTTACAGTTATTTATAACAGCAATAGATATAAATATTACATTCATTTTCATACCACTACTTGTCACTAAAAAAAAAGC